AAGTACTTAAGGAAATACTGTAACCTGTTTCAATTCTTCCTCCGTGGTCTGACACTGTCACATTTTTCATCACGTGGTAATTTTCGTGATTTACACACACAGACACACACACACACATATATATATATATATATATATATATACTGTATATATATGCAACAATGATCACAAAAACACTGATGCAGAATAACCACATGTGAAAAATAGAGAATGCTTAACGCGTTTTCGGCTAATTCGCCTTCATCAGAGCAAAGTAGAATGAAGATCTTTCTACTTTGCTCTGATGAAGGCGAATTAGCCGCAACGCGTTAAGCATTCTCTATTTTTCACATGTGGTTATTATGCATACGTGCACTGTATATATATATATATATATATATATATATATATATATATATATATATATATATATATATATATATATGTATATATATATGTATATATGTATGTGTGTATGTATGTATGTATGTATGTATGTGTGTGTGTGTGTGTGTGTGTGTGTGTGTGTGTGTGTGTGTGTGTGTGTGTGTATAAAATTCACCCATTTATGCTTCAAAATGACAATTGTTTTGTCCTTGATGCCTTGGTACTTGCAGTATATCACAAGTGGAATAATTTAGGGAACGGCATTTTCTCTTGGTATTTAATTAATAGCACTTGTAATGTTTTCCCCCCAAAAAATACATATTTTTTGTTTGTTTACATCATGATGATTCTTTCCTTTGATGCATATTGATAAGCATTCCATATCGACCTGATACATGCTGGACTATGCTTCCACTTAATTGTTGCATACCTATCTTAGCTGCGGCACTTGTGGCACCACCACAGAGGGACACCGTGGCGCGTTTGTACTCGTGCACGTGTTTGGAGTGCTGCCTTTGTAATGCATAATTGAAAGTGTCCAGAATGTAGTGATATTCACCTTAATGTACAGTACTGACACACTGAGAGCATATGTTTTGCTGTGTTCAGTGTTGTTCACATTGTTACTGTATTAACTTCTATAGGTTTCCCAGCCTGTTCTCACAATTTTAACAAGCGACAAACTTGAGTTGTTTTTTTTTCCTAACCAGAAGCATACGAAGCTACCTGTAGGCAACCCACCTAACTTATCAAGGCCAATACTTACTAGTCCGAAGAAGCAATTATCTAAGGTACATTTAATTTCACTAAAGTACAGTATCGTCATTTTTTTTTCACTTTGGTCAGTAATGTTAAAATAGCTGTGCATTAAGTGTGAGGACAGGTTGAGATTTCCATGCTTTGTGTAAATTTTGATACACATAAGACTGTAGTATCAGTGTCAGATTATAGTTGACCTGCATAATACAAAAAGAAAATCTCGCTCCGATAATTTAATTCTAAACTGTCGGTAGACATTAACTTTAGAAGGCTGTAAACTCGGAATTACTCTTGAAAACAAATTAAGGGAAAAAAAAAAAAAAAAAAAAGTCTAAATCACTTAATAATTCATTTGTAAAACTGTTACAATCAATACTTATGAAAAGATGAACTTGTGTTGTCATCTGTCATTTCTAATGGCACACAGGTGATTTCCAGTTAAATAATTTTTGGTCTCGTAAATTATTTAGTTTTTCTTATTCTATTTTTATGTTATTATAGTAATAGTTCCTCATAAGATGCGTCTTAGTTTAAATCTATAATTTGGATTAGTTATTTTATGCAGGACTTAAGTGGTTAGTTTGAGTAAACAGTGTACCTAATTATAGATTATCTGGTGTTTTGTGTTTGAATTAATGTTGAATAAGTGTTAGATGATTTCAGAACAAATCTAGTGGTCTTATGATTATTTTGTCTAAATTGGATAAGTATATTACCTGAATGTGATCAAGCTACATTACTTATGGAGTGTCTAAATAATTTCCAGCTATTTCAGTTTCACTGTAGTGTATTTTATTTAAAAATATTGGCAGGTACAGATGTACAAGTATTTAAACGCAGAAATCGGATCACAAGCAGCTGTTGTAAACACTTTATTAATCAACGAGAGTATTCAATATTTTGTGTGTAAAAAAATATGTATTGTTGAACATATTGCTTTAGTTATATACCTTGATATTGCTGTAAAAGTGTTTTTATAATTTTTATGTAAAAGGTATTGAGTTGTCATTACAAGTTCCTCAGTCAAATACCTCATCCTCTCTGGAAGCATATATTAGTGCAATGAACAGTATGTATCTACTTCAAGAATGAATGCCAGTCATACAACGTAGAAGATTAGCGTCAAATGTTCTTTGGTGACGAACTAGGGCTGATGACACCATATCAAACAAAAGTACAGGTTAACTTCTCCAGCATATTTGAAATAATATTGTGCATTTCTATACCGTGGGAGTCTTTTGTTTTCTAAAGAACAAAATGGCAAAAATGTCATTGAAATTCCAGAGTAAAATTAGTATTTAGGATTTAATAGAATATATTAAATCATGCTGAATGATATAATCTCATATTCTTAACATTTTTATTATAGTCATTGTGAAAGGTCTTGTAGTGTTCAGGTCTTGTAGCATACAAGACCTGTACACTGCAAGACTTGTACATTACAAGTGTTGTAGAATACAGGTCTTTGGCTTGGCATAAGGGAATCATAGTAGGATGATTTACACAAGAAGAATCGAGTATGAAAGTTGCTATATTAGATTGTAGCGACAATATATTGTTTCATTGTAGGATAGGGAAGGTTTATTTTTGAGAATGAAATAATCCACAAGTTCATTAATTTTTTAAACTATTTTGAATCTCAAGAAATGTTTAAATCTGAAATATATATTGTTGATGTAGGGTATCTCAATACAGTAGTTCACAAGCATTATACATCAAGCTTATATTACTAAATGCAGCATCTCCACTGTATAGGTTATTGCATTTAAATGTATACAGTAATTGCAAATATTTGTACATGCTACAAACTTGTCTATAATGAAGCTTTGAATATAAGACTTTTTATGGAATCTCTTTTAGTTTTGTAAATTGAATTTTGTCATTAAATTTTTTTTATTTTTCAACTTTTCATCTCATTATTTTTTTTTGCAGAATTGCACTCTGTTGTGTTGTATTTGTTTCCTTTTTGGAAATGTGAAGCATTGTACTTATAGATAACTAAAAAACTTAAATTGTCTAGTCAGATCATAAAATAAATGATTGTTGACATGTAGCAAGTTTTGATCCCCCACTCAGACTCGTCACTGGTAGCCTCTTCATCTTCCATATTTGTAGAAACAAAAGCAACATATTTATGGCATTACAGTAATTCATCATGTTTATTTCAAGGTAGCAGTTATAACACAATTTAAATTTATTGAAACAAGTGAAAAAATGGACAATATTCACTGAATAGCGGCCTTGAGGGTTAGGCCATAAGGAATAAACTGCATATATTTATCCTGCATGTTCTAAGATGCGATTAAAAGGATGGAATATATATATATATATATACAGTATTTAAGATCACTGCCATTCCCAAGAGCCTTTTTGAACTGAATTGTTACAAGGTTTGTGTTCAGTATTTGTATAAAGTTCTTTAAGATTTAAATGGGAACATCAACATCTATTAATCAAGAAGGTAGTTAAGTGTGTCCTGAAACCCCTCTTCTGGGGGGAAAGGAAAGGAGCTGGATTAATGGTATCCAATATGTAGCTTGGCTAATTATTTTGTTTAAAAATAAATACTGCCATATTAACCTGGTTATGTTTCTGGAAGCTATAACCAACCACACATATAGAGGACTTTTTGTAGCTGCAGTGTTGTGGGGAAAAATTCTCATATCACCCATAAATTATTAATGCAACAGGTAGAAAGAAATTGCTGATGGTTATGTTAATTCCATTATACTGTAAGTAAACACAATAGTCCTAAAGAGACTGAAAATGATGACTTTACTCCAGAAAACAGGATTAATTTCCTCGTGTTGTCATCATCTCGTCACAAAATCTATTTAGCTAATGTTACACTAAAATCATCAGTCTCAGGACTGAAACCAAAATAAAATGTTTCTTACTAAATTAATTATACACGTATAGTCAATAAAGATTTAACGTCAAACCCTTTCCTCCTAAATCTCAATGAAAACGAGTTGAGTATGACGCCGAGGCAGGGAGGAGGAGAGCCATCACTTGTGGTTGGTGAAACTTGAGTTGTGATAAGTGTGCCTCCCACAATGCAGAAAATTACTCCAGAAAGTCCCAGTCCTTACATTAGTCACTATTTGTTGCCAAAACTTGACAGAACTAAGGAAAGTGCAGAGTTTTTTCTAATACTGTAGTACATAATTTTTTGGCCAATGATATGTATCTAGGATTAAATCGTTACGATGCAGGAAAACACCAGCCGAAAGGGTATGGTTTATTCATTAGTAATTACCTAAATTTCATGTGTAACACCTGTGCTTTACACGGTATCGTCAGTTTTTACGGTGTAACTGCATTAGTGACCAATTATGACATGAAACATTAGTTGAGCTGGTACATCCCATGACCACGTAGATGCCATTAATACATGTCCAGTACGGAATACAGGTATCCGAGGGTATCTCATGTTGGATGACCCAACCTGCCCTCTTAAAAATAACGTCGCTTTTCGCTCGTATGCTCACTATGGCCAAAAATGGATGTAATTTTAAATGAAATCAGCTCACGAAAGTGATGCATTGTCCCGTTTTCTGTTCGAGTCCTCCGGCTTACTCCGAAAGGTTAGAAGAGGAAACTTTCAATTAACATTTTTCATTTCGTTTTGAAATTTAAGGAGAATTTCCTGCCCACCTAGCCTACCAGAGGACCCTTAACTTTCTGTTTTGAGAAAAAAAATCCAAAATTTATTTTTCATTTTTTTTTCCATTTTGAAATTACGTCCATTTTCGGCCATACGGGCAAACGGCTAAAAGCGACGTTATTTTTAAGAGGACAAGTTGTGGAGCCAACACTACCAAATCAGCTGAGACCGTTTTAAATTATAACTAACACATTTGTAGCGGTACTAACTATTTAATTACAGTGGCAACAGTTGGCGGGAAAGGACAGTCTCTGGCAACAGTTGGCGGGAAAGGACAGTCTCTGGCAACAGTTGGCGGGAAGGGACAGTCTCTGGCAACAGTTGGCGGGAAGGGACAGTGTCTGGCAACAGGTGGCGGGAAGGGACAGTCTCTAGCAACAGTTGGCGGGAAGGGACAGTCTCTGGCAACAGGTGGCGGGAAGGGACAGTCTCTGGCAACAGGTGGCGGGAAGGGACAGTCTCTAGCAACAGGTGGCGGGAAGGGACAGTCTCTAGCCACAGTTGGCGGGAAGGGACAGTCTCTGGCAACAGGTGGCGGGAAGGGACAGTCTCTGGCAACAGGTGGCGGGAAGGGACAGTCTCTGGCAACAGGTGGCGGGAAGGGACAGTCTCTGGCAACAGTTGGCGGGAAGGGACAGTCTCTGGCAACAGTTGGCGGGAAGGGACAGTCTCTCGCAACAATTGGCGGGAAGGGACAGTCTCTAGCAACAGGTGGCGGTAAGGGACAGTCTCTAGCCACAGTTGGCGGGAAGGGACAGTCTCTGGCAACAGGTGGCGGGAAGGGACAGTCTCTGGCAACAGGTGGCGGGAAGGGACAGTCTCTAGCCACAGTTGGCGGGAAGGGACAGTAGGTGAGGACGGACAGTGAAGGCCACATCAATGTATCTGTGCACATCATCACTGCAGGGAGCGACCCGTTGATGACCGACTTCCTCTTTCACACAGTGACGCACATCAGAACAAGTGCACCTCGACGTGGCGTCATACAGGGAGGGCGGGCGGGAGAGACTTCAATTTACCACAACCAGTAGTTCTTAGTGCGCATGTTATACTGGATATACTCCCTGTGAGTATATCCAGTGATATATAACTACTGTTCGGTAGCGATATACTCACAGAGTGTTGGTATTTCATCAATTTAAATTTGAAAGAACGCCGACATTAAGTGGTTTGCAATATCACTGGTGTGGGTGAAGCCTTCTCAGGACTCTATAAGGTCCTGATAGAGTAAGGTTGACTCTATACTGGCTTACGCTGTGGTATCTGGTAGTGAACTATCACCTCTCTCTCGTTCACTTTTAATTGTTACTTATTAATCCTACAGAATCTTTCATAGGTAACATTACAACTGTTAAGTGCATGACAGGAAACACAGGAAACCTTACCTGTGCTGCTGTACTCTGGTCCACACAGCTGCTGTGCTCTGTTCCACACAGCTGCTGTGCTCTGTTCCACACAGCTGCTGTGATCTGTCCCACACAGCTGTTGTGCTCTGGTCCCCACAGCTGCTGTGCTCTGGTCCACACAGCTGCTGTGCTCTGTTCCACACAGCTGCTGTGATCTGTTCCACACAGCTGTTGTGCTCTGGTCCACACAGCTGCTGTGCTCTGGTCCACACAGCTGCTGTGCTCTGTCCCACACAGCTGCTGTGCTCTGTTCCACACAGCTGCTGTGCTCTGTTCCACACAGCTGCTGTGCTCTGTTCCACACAGCTGCTGTGCTCCAGCCATGTCTTATATTCTTATTTTTATTGTAATCTTATCACTATCATCAGATTTGTCGTGTGATCTTTGAGAACACGTATCACATAAACTTTGAAATTTCAACTTTTCCACTTTGCTGCGTTTGTTAATAATGTTTCATCTTGTAGTTAGATATCTTAGGCTCTGGGATTGACACAATCACTATTCCTAATAAGTGATGAGTACTGAAATGCGGTGAGCATTGTCCTTAGAGTGCACGCGTTTGTGATGTAATAATTTTAATTTTTTTTTAATTGAACCGCTGTGGAAAAGTCAGCAAATCTCACTGGCAGTGTCCAACCTGCTTAACATAAGTCCTTAATGGGAGTTGTATCGCTGCTCGCTACTCCAGTGACCAGGGCCAGATTCAGGAAGCAGTTACGCCAGCACTTACGAACCTGTCCATCTTTTCTCAATCTTTGGCGGCTTTGTTTACAATTATTAAACAGTTAATGAGCTCCGAAGCACCAGGAGGCTGTTTATAACAATAACATCAGTTGATTGGGAAGTTTTCATGCTTGTAAACTATTTCATAAATGTAACCAAAGCCGTCAAAGATTGAGGAAAGATGAACACGTTCGTAAGTGCTTGCGTAACTGCTTCGTGAATCTGGCCCCTGGAACTCTTGCCCTTGCATCTCCACAAGTTGCCCAGACGGTTTATAACTTGACTAAGGAGGCAAAAATTTTTTAGTCATCGCAGCCGGTGTTTCCTGATCCTCTCACGCCGACGTAGCCTAACCTTCGCCTGGTGCTGCTGTCTGATAATGAGGAACGTAGCCTAACCCCGCCGCTGACGTCCCGGGTCACACAAGAAAGATAAACACAGAGCGTTAAATAATATTTATGTGGTCATAAATTCCACAGGGGGATGGGGGGATAGAGAGTGATGCAGCCAAGCAATCAGAGCAACACGTGGTCATCAGCTGTGTTTTGATAACAATGAGGTTCCTGTTTCACGTGACCGCAAGGCAGCGCCATGTGCTCTCGCCTTCCCCATTGTTTCCAAATAACATTCTCATCCTAAACCACTCTTTGTCTATGACTTTTTAAAACACATCACTTATTCGCAGGATATTATATATTTATCCATGTTAGCTATGTTTATCCTACCTCCTATAACATGCCACACTGGCCCCCCTGCTGTAGCCTACTAAATATAATTACTGAAGACGAGTTCGAATCTCGGACAGACGGAGACGCGTGAGCACGATATCTTACACCTGACGTCTCTTCAACTGGCAGTAAATAGTTAGTAACTGAGAAAGGTAATTCGTATGCTCACGAGGTTCTTCGATACACCTAATAGGCTTCTTATCCCCCCAACAGTGAGAAACCATTTAACGTTTGACGCCCATAATTGTTGCTATTTATAGCGTTGTCCGCACTACTAGGCCTGATAGACCTACCTGTATTGCATAACAACTCTCTTATGTAATTAATGTACTATACATTGTATATAAGCTTTCCCCAATTATAAATGTATTACCATTTTATGAATAAAGTTTTCGATTGACTGAGCCATTTAGACTGTGAGTTTAGAGGAAGTGCTTGTTGAAGCCTGACCAGTTGTTGCGCAACTGTGAGAGTCGAACCCGGGCGTCGCTCTTTGTGTCCAGCCACGGCTTGGGAGCCCACTTCTGGACGGACCTGGCTGGCTCCACGTGACCTGGCTCAAGGCCCAATGGTGAGAGCACAAAGACCATCTGACTCCTCTCACGGCTCCCAAGTCCGAGAGAGAGTCCTCTCTAAGACTCCCAGACCTCCTCACCCACCGCAACAGGTTCAAGAAGTTAGTTCTGGCTTTCCATCCCTTTTACGGGGCTCACCATAGCCCGTGCTACATGGACATTTCGTTGTGAGTAACTAAATCTACAACAACAACTTTCCCCTCCGTCCGTAAACACTGTTAGGCAATCATTAAAGAACAATTTAAAGTATGGAAATTCAGTTTAGAGAACAGCGGTCAGGTAAAAGGTGGGGTTCCAAGAGCTCATAGCTCAATTCTGCAGGCACAGATAGTAATTACACAAACATGAACGCATGAGAAACAATGAGTAAATTTACATGCCGATATTTAGAGCAAGACGGGTATAGTTAGTACTCGTAACAAGCGGCTTCGGATACACCAGTGGACGTGGGAGAGTACACTGATGTCTGGGCTGGGAATATGAGAGTACAAATTCAAAATTCAAATTCTTTATTCAGGAAAAGTATATACATAGTTGATTTACAAACATAAAGTTGGATTTATAGATAGAGCTAATACATAGCGTTTCGGGCAAGATGTCTCAGCTAGGAATGTGAAAGTACAGATGTCTGGACTAGGAATGTGAGAATACAGATGTCTGGGCTGGGAATGACAGATACTCTGGGAAATACGACAAGCTGTGACAAGCAACAAGTGACTAAAGAGAGGAACGAGTAACAGGCCAAGCAGACATGAGATAACCGGGTCAACACAGCCATCCTCGCCCCACATTCTTAAATAGTGTGTTCTTAAGTGTTGAGGACATATGGAAGGAAGCAGTGTGTTTACTTGCTCAAGTCTTCCTGTCACACATCTCTACATTCAAACACATATTGAAAATACAAATAATTATCAAGAGAACCTTAAACCTATAGACCTAACTATACTTTTTTCAAATTCTAATGCATAATATTTAGAGTTTAGAAAATATCAAGTTCAAGTATGTTTATTGAGACAAGAAAGAACTACATCTCAAAGGGATAGAGTAGCTTAGGCTATTTCTACCCTCCCTAAGTAGAAAATATCGAGTTTGAATAAACAGTTCGTATTTGTGAAGGTGTCTTTGGAATCTGCCGTAGTTTGGACAAGCGTAATGCTAGGCTGGTTAATGAGGACGGGCTGGAATGACAATGAGAATAGTATTCTCATTGCCTCGCTACTGAAGGTATTCTCAGAATACCTTTAGTAGCAAGCGGGCCAGATTCACGAAAGCACTTACGAACGTGTACATCTTTCCTGAATCTTTGGCGGCTTTGGTTACATTTATTAAACAGTTTTCAAACATGAAAACTTCTCAATCAACTGTTGTTATTGTTATAAACAGTCTCCTGGTGCTTCGGAACTCATTAACTGTTTAATAATTGTAAACAAAGCCGCCAAAGATTGAGAAAAGATGTATAGGAATCTGTACATCTTTTACAGATGTACGTGAATCTGGTCCGAGGCTTCTTGATCTCTACCCGGCCAGGCTACCGTGATGTGACACTGACCCTGGACCTTCTCTTGACCTTCTAAGACCTCAGGATGTGACGGCGAATTCACAAAGATATTCCTTAGCGGTTTCTTACGACTTGATTATAAATTTCAAACTGTCTATATTGCACTGACACGAAACTTGAAAGCACTGTTATATAAAATCAAATAATTTAAATTTCAATATAGTCCTTCGGCCATAAACAAGGACAAATTATTTTAATCTATATCATTCAGGTGATACATTAGTCGCCGATTAAAACTATAATTAAACTTTGAAGAGTTGATAAGCCTGGCACCTTTCAACAACACCTCCGACCATCCTCTCACTAATACGTTGGATTTCAAACGTAATTAAAAAAAATTAATGTTTATTCAGGTAAAGTACATACATACAAGGTGAGATACAAACATTGATGGATTTATAGATAGAGCTAGTACATACAAGGCCTAAAGCCACTATTTCGCAAAGCGTTTCGGGCAGGATCGCCTAATCAGTTAAAAATGCGATGTATTAGTAAAAATTAAAGCATGATAATATTGCCATTTTCAGTCCATCGACCTCGATAGGTAAGATGGATTCGTAGGTTTGTGATTAAGGCTAAACAGTTGCATTTTTACGAGGTGGCAAATCGAAAGATCGAGATAGATAAACGATGTGAGGAACTACTGTCTTTGCAAGTCTGGGGCCAGATTCACGAAGCAGTTACGCAAGCACTTACGAACGTGTACATCTTTCCTCAATCTTTGGCGGCTTTGGTTACATTTATTAAACAGTTTACAAGCATGAAAACTTCCCAGTCAACTGTTGTTATTGTTATAAACAGCCTCCTGGTGCTTCCGAGAGCATTAACTGTTTAATAATTGTAAACAAAGCCGCCAAAAATTTAGAAAAAATGGACAGGTTCGTAAGTGCTTGCGTAACTGCTTCGTGAATCTGGCCCCTGGAAAGACCTGCAGTTCCGACGACTGGGAACTAAGAGACTGTCATGGTGATGTAAGACCACTCACAACACCAAGGTTATATCAGAACATCGACACTGGGCAGATTGGGTTTGATAGGAGGCACTTCCCAGTTCGGGTGATGATAAGTGGAGTGAGATATGCTAAAGAGTATGTTCTCGCCTCCCGCCTGCTATATAATGGTTGGAAATTCTGTTATAGGGGACTATTTATGCCAGAGTTTAGAAATATGCCCCTCCTTCCCCCCCCCCCCCCCACTTCCTCTCCTTGGGCCAGATTCACGAAGCAGTTACGCAGGTACTTACGAACGTGTACATCTTTCCTCAATCTTTGACGTCTTTGGTTACATTTATTATACAATTTACAACCATGAAAACTTCCCAATGAACTGTTGTTATTGTTATAAACAGCCTCCTGGTGCTTCAGAGTTCATTAACTGTTTAATAATTGTAAACAAAGCCGCCAAAGATTGAGAAAAGCTGTACAGGTTCGTAAGTGCTTGAGTAATTGCTTCGTGAATCTGGCCCCTTGTTCGTGTACTGACAGCGCTTTCTATTGGTAGTTATCTTTCCTTGTCCCCACTATAGCAAGTGTGGACACTACAAACTAATCTTTATGACATAATTTGTTCCCACTATAATTCCCGTTGCAATGGGCTCAACACCCACCACAAGTACACTTTTTAAATTAATAAACTGACGTGCAGAGCTAGTGTCACAATTCATATGTTTATCCTACACACCGCCATCCCATCCAGTGGGCAGCGGTGGATGTGTTCTGTTCACTACATGGGAGTCGGTCGG